AGTTTTAAAGGGGCGTTTTTATTACGTTCCTGTACTCGTTCTTGTTTTATTTTTGCGTTTTATGAATATATTGACAAAGTATCAATGTATATTAGGCAAGGAAACCCAGGAAAGCCAATAAGGCTTATGTAAAGGACTAACTGTACTACCTGGATACTGAATGAAGGTGCCACTTTCGCATTAAAGAGCTATTCCAAAATTGTATCTAAAAGGCTTATTCTGAGGACACTAGGGAAATTAAGTTAATTGCTATATGCATTGTATCGTGTGACATTTAGCAGGAAATGTGCTGTTTTTATCGAAAGAATTCCCCTAACAAATAAGTTTTGAAGTTTGCAATCGTCATAAAAGCATTTTGATATGTGATATAGCACTCTTTCAATTCACAGCCCGATACAGACATCCTTATGTGCGTCAGCGATGCAGCTCTAACTGGTCACTATTATGCCTCAGGGAGGTCTGCGCCTGTTAGGACCACTCCGGTAAGTATTGACTTTCTCTTTTATTATTGCAACAACTTTTGTCGTTAATTTGATGAGGAACGTCTACTCTCAGTCGGTTTCATTTGGTTCAGTAAATTAACTCTTTCTTATGGGAATTTGTTTTATAAGAATATCGGGGCTGAAATTTGCGAAATTTTATGAATATTTTAAGAATAAACCCGAGGCTAAGATTTTGAAAAGAATATGCTTCTGTGTTGAAAAATTGCAAATGCAATACAATTATATGCTTTTAACTAAACGGTATAAAATTCTTCCTTTTTCGAAACAGCAAAACTAGGCAATAAACAACAAAAACAGCACCAGCCGTATGTTTGAAGTTAATGTCATTTCTACTAGAAGTTATATGCGTCTGATATCATGCATTTTAAGTGCCTGCAGTGTGGCTTTTTAATTACTTTAACACCATTCAGACACCAAATACATTCGAAAACAGAAATGTTATACGCTATATAATCTAAGAATATTCACAAGTACATTTTCAGCCTAAAATCGGCAGAAAAATAAAAATATTCAGCCTCGGTCGGAAAAACAATATTCTTATAAAAAGGGTGTGCCAACAGATTGTTTTATGTCTAGGCGCGCGCCAGAGCTTGCAAAGCACGATGTGGAAGCAAAACTCATCTTATTGAGAATTGGTTTGACATCGATAAGCTTTATTAACCAGAAAATTGAAAGGGCCCTAACATCTTATTCAGGTTTTAAAAAAATTCTTCACTAATTATTTTCCCGACAATTGTTGGGGTTGTGCAATGACAGTGAAGTAATTTTTTTATTTCGGATTTTTTCTACTTCAGACACCAGCGGCAGTGACAGTTATTGAGGGAGAAAAAGATGGTGAAATGATGAAGTGCAGGTATTTCTTATTATCTATGACCTACGCACTTTTAGGTTGGTGTGCTGTTGCGGCATGATTTCACGCTCATGTTTTTCTTCCAATCACATCAGGAGCCCACAACAAGGAAATTTGAGTTCGGAAACAAACCTTTCAAATGCAAAACAATCTTATTTTTTTTCCCCCAGATTGGGAATAAACTGAAAGGGGTCTACAAGTACGTTTTGTAGCATTTGTGGCTTTCTAAAGAAATAAAGCATCATGACACACACATTCAACTTAAGCCACCGCCATGTTGGATTTGCCCGGAGGATCAGTGCATTTCTACAGTAAACAATGGAAGGCCAGATAATTGCCTATTCGTCTAAACATTCTAACCAATTTTTAGAATTAAAGGGTTTACTTAATTCTATTTGGGCATTTGTACGTTGCATAAAACAAAATTCAAGGCAATAAAGTTCGAGGTAAATGGCTTAAATGAAAACCAACCTCTTGACGTTCAAAACGCGAGTAGAAAACCTAAAACGTGAAGTCTGGGAAACTTGGATCCTTAAGTCTCTGATATGTCGTTGGACCATCGTGACAGGTCCTCTATGAGAGGCAGATTGCCACCTTACTCCTGTTGTCACCTGTTTCACCAATTATTTGCTCTATCAAGGTTCTGTCAGATCGCTGTTCCCAACGATGTCTTAGTATATCATTTGCGATTGTTACTTTGAGCACTTCCTCGATAAACAATTCGCGATGTGAAGTGAATTTACCTATTCCCACTTTCCAGATAATCCGCCAAAAAAGGAGAGATTTCTGCTCAGGGTCTTGCTGAAACCTTATTCAAGCAAAAAGGGAGGGTTCCTCACCATAATATAAGGCACGATTTACATGATCAGTAGCCGTGAAAAGGAGAGAAGCTTTGGATGCAATATGCGCCAAAGTAACGAGTAAGAGGTTACGACATGTACAACAACGGAATTAACCGTCAATAAAAACCTAATCTACCTCTTGAAATGTTTAGAATTTCGAGGGTCATCAACCCAGAGATATCTAACTTCAGGGACCTGAATCAACCTTGGTATCTTTTGGGAGCGATTGGAGACTTAAATAACGGTGAGTTTTTATTTTGGTTAACGTATTTTTTCTTTTCACAAAAATACAAAGAAATTCATTTTTGGAGTTTTTAAAACCTTGGACATTACTTAATACTTTAATTTCAATTAAAATGATTCAGAGCGTACGAATGTCAAGATATGCACCTTTGCTCTATCGTCTTTGCTCGTACAAGAGAAAGGGCAATCTCGTATTGTTTAAAAATTAGACTACGAGCCCGAGTTTTCTGTGAGCGAATAGTCAACGACGCGATCTTACCTGCTTCGAATGATCATTATTTTTCTAATGAAAAAATAAAATGATCTATCCATCTATGTCATGTGCATTATGAATATTACCAGGTATGCTTTCGAGAAAACCCTGTAAAGACCAATTTCTATAACAAATTTTGGCCTTAACTTTTAACGTAATGGTTTGATAAATTTGCGAAAGAATCCCAATTGAGACTTAACACATACTTTTTAACCAATTCAAAAATGGGATATTAACTTTTTCGCCTTGGCAGCCAGAAATAAACACTTTAAATACTCAGATTCACCACTTCATTTAAAACTGTTGTTATTTTCCTATTGTTGGTTATCCTTTATTGGGCATAACTTCTTATTGTACATTTTATTGTCATGTTTACATCATTTTATTGTCATATTAACTATTTTACTACCCTTCTATTAACTATTTTTAGAACTATTTTGTCGTAGTATATATACAGATTTTCTCTTAATAATATATTATTATTTATCTATTTATTATTTATTTATTAGTTTGATAATTATTTTAGTGTTCCCAATTAGTTCTAAAAGCTAAAAATTTTTGAGACACTCAAATAAAGGTGATGTACGCTGCATGCATGTCAGTTTAATAACTTCACTTCAAGAGAGCTTCTGCTCCTTTAATTTGGCCACTACAGACTTCCTTTTTATTAAATGTAATTTCACGTTTACTTTGTTTACGTTTTCTACTCTTTTAAGATGCAATTCAAATACATAGTCGCCGCCAACCTACAGCCTCTAGAATAACTGTCACGGAGGCTAGATCTGCATCTTCAGACGATGGAATAAATACAAACATTATCATCCACGGTAAAAACGATAACGCTAATGATGACGTACTTTAACTAATCAGAGCAGCTGTGTAATGAAGAGTCGCTCATTATCATCAGCATTACCACAGACAACCTGAATGATTTAATCTGGTGGTCCAGGAGTTGATCAACTAATAATAATTCTCTAGCTACGCCTAGCGCAAATTGTTCTTAAACATGGCTAGTCGCAATTCTACTGAAAGACACGCTAAATGGCAGGAGGCTATCAGAAACAATGTTCTGACTTATGAAGTGGTACCGCTTCCTTTGTTTGTTTTCTTAGGTAAAGTAAACTGTCCGACATTTATAATTTCTTGTTATATCGAACAGATGACAAAGAAAGGAAAGACAAATAAAACGCGAGGGAGCTTCAATGGGCGACAGAAAGGTCGAGACACTTCGCTGTAAAATTCGATTTTTGAGCGTCTTAGAATAATTTTCCCCTCTTCCCTGAATCAATCAATCAATCAATCAATCAATCAATCAATCAATCAATCAATCAGTCAGTCAGTCAGTCAGTCAATCCAATTTATGAATATCAAAACGTGGGATTATCTCAAACTATGCTGCTTTTTTTTTATCTGCAAGACTGCGCAGACAAGAGCTCAGGGGTGTTAGATAATCATCATCGTGAGATGTATTTGAAAGAGAATAAGGCATTAAAGAAAACGTCATTTCTAAAAGTGTCTCAACTACTTTGCCACTCATTGTTACTTATAGTTATCCTAGTAGGATCTGTCCTCTAACCTCAACGGATAAATTTGATAGTTCCCGTATTTGAAACAAAGAGAGCTAAGAGAGTTATCTTGTGGGCATCATGCCTTCCTACAACTAACTTCTTGATTTTATATCATCTGACACAGGAACTCTGATGACACTTGCTTGGATTTTGTTTGCATTTGTGGGTTTGTTCACGGCACGATACATGCGCGAGGTCTGGGAACCCAAACAGTTATTGGGAACGAAAGCTTGGTTTACGGTGGGTATCAATTCTAAAACAAAAGTAGAATAAAAGTGGCTCACGTTATACTGTCTCACAAAACGTTCTATGGTCCGATGCTTTTTCAAGCAACGAATTTAAGACCCTACTTTTAAGTTCTTTCTTTCAACCACGCCTGTCTTAATTAATCCAGTTTTTAGTATCTGGTGACATCACTTTGGCAATTACTCATGATTTGATGATTTTGTGAATCTTTTTGATTTTCAGTTCATTTTTGACTGGACTATGCCTCTCAAAAAGTTTCGTCCAAAATTGATTATAATAAAGTTTCGCTTCCTAATTTGATGCCGTGGACCTGAGAACTTGGCCAGTTCTCTGTATATCAACAAAGTCGTACTCAAAGTGTCAAACTTGGTGATGTTTAAATTTTGCTCAAATACTCAAGCACGTTATTAACAAGTTCAGCGGAGGATATAATAGTTTTGACTGCTTCAAATGCTACTTCACAGCCTGACCATTTTAGACAGCTCTGTCAGACTCGATGCAGGAATAAAAAGTTCTAGCTCCTACTTTGAGTTTTTTCATAAATCCATTGCAGTTTTTGCGTTCACCGTAGCTGTTCTATCTTACGATTAACAGGTTCATCGGACACTGATGACAATAACAGTACTGTTGACAGTGGCAGGGATAGTTGTGATCTTTGTTCACGTGAAAGGCTGGTCATCGGTAAGTCATAAAATTAAGTCAAAATCTCTGCAAATGAGGAAACGTTTTGGTGGAAACATTGCTTTCCAAAATTGTGTGCAAACGACGAAAAACATATGATAATTTCAGTAACAAATTTTGCTTCTCATAAGCAAATTTTTCTTCTTCATGAAATGTTTATGTGCGCACCAATTGCAACGGAAAACATGTAGGGAAACAACTTTTCCGCAACAATGATTCTTTTTCGATCTGGGCGGAGGCTTTTGGGTATAGCTAGAGGGACGGAATGGATACAGTTTATGACTGCTTGATTATTGATTCAGTCTGGCAAAGACTTGACTAAAATTCTCCGTCGAAACTGTTCTGAAGCGAATCATTTTATATCACAAAGCGACTACGGTTTGCAAGAAAACCTGATTTTCGTATTGCTGAGACGCGGAAAGGCTCAACTTTTCGAGTCTGACATGGTAGTATACGGCTCACACCGTTCACGTTTAAGTTAGTAATTAACTATCCATATGCATTTAACATTGTTTTATTAGGGGGCTGGAGTGCACCCTTATTTTGGTATCGTCGTTCTCGCCCTTGCACTTGCTCAGCCAATCATGGCGGCATTCAGACCACATCCGGGTGAACCGAGGTAGGGTGGCGAATTCATTTTACCAATTCTTATGTAGTGAAAACGAGTTCGAACCTAGCTGCACACGGGCTGGATTCGGACGCCGGGGAGTCTATATCTCAAGAGAATGTTGTTGTTTACCGCTTTACTAAGAGACTAAAGTTTTTGTTTCGGATGTTTTCCCTCCATTCTACCAGACAATTAATTTATGAGCTCGAGATTTCTATCGCGCAGCCCGTGTCAACTATCACGCGTAGAGGTCGAGAGCGAATAACTTAATTGTTTTAGTATAAATCTTCCGATCGACTGGTAAATTATCTAAATCCTTTTCACAGACACTTCGGAAACGGAAAGAACTGAGCGGCCGCCTTTTGTTAAGAAATAGTTTGCAAGATATAGAAAATTTCTAGTTCTAGTAGCTGTGGAATTTGATAGTAACTTCAATTTTTTTTGTTGTTGTTTTGTTTTCCGTTGTGTTGTAGGCGCAGCATTTTTAACTGGGTTCATAGGTGTGTCGGTACCTTAGCGCTGATTCTTGGAGGTAGGTTTCTGGGTAACGGATGAAAACATTCTGTGAGTTTGAAAACAAAACAGTCACATGTGTAACAGAAGATGAAATTTGTTTGTTTTATCATTTGTCTGTAATGCCCTGTAATTGTTTTTCTCTTTCGCAGTTGTTTCAATCTACTTTGGATTAAATACTAATCAAGTCGGCTTAGGAAAAAAGGGACTTTGGCCAGTGATCACCTTCTACATTGCAGAATTTCTTGTTTTCTTATTTGAGGTGTATCTGATCATATCCAAACGAAATCGCGAGAAGAGGTCTGTTCCAATGGGTACTGCAAGAGGTAAGAAAATGCTCCTTTTCGGCCTCCTCCTCAATAGGGTGTAAGTAAGGAGAAAAGTAAAACTCCTGAGGTAACTGATATTGTTCGTGATAACTTTGAGATGACATCTGCTATTTTAGACCAGTTAGTGGCTTGCATGCATGACCACTGTGCTGTAGATGTGGGCAGCTCTTCTTCCAAGTTGTGAATTTTACCAACTGTCTATGATCAGTTTCTGTAAGTATCGAGTTGAAAAAGCGGAGTTTTCTCCAAATGGTGAAATTTTCATGTGGGTGCCTTATTTCAATTTTTGTGATAGGTATTCCCATGGAGCAACCTGGACATCAGACCGGAGCTTCGCCAGAGACTGAAATGCCAGTAAAGGTAACTTATAATACTGTCCCTTACGAATCAGTTATACATCCATGAACCACTTATCATGGAGCTGCTACACATTCCCCCTTTTTTATATGGAAAACGGATGAAGATTTTGGCAACTAATAAATGTGAGCTGAACACCTATACACAACAATTCAGGATAAACGACGACGCAACAATTACAAGAATGACTTTCAACAAAGGTTTCTTATTTTGTCGTACTTCTCGAAACTCCGCCTTAGCAACTCTAAATAGCAGACTCTGTCCATGATGACATCTTATAATCATAAGCTGTACAAGGTCGAACATCAACCACATTATTTTAATCACCATTCATACGAGTTATTTAACATGGAACTGCGCTCTGACTGAGATAAAACACAACTAACACAACTAAGTTTTACCACTTACCACGAAGTGATCAAGCCCATAATTGGAGCGATTACAATGCATTGAACCAAAAATTCCGGAACTTCGAAAAGGGACAAACAGTATGAAAGTGTTCTTTCAAAAATCCGAAAATTGTTGAATTTCGGAAATATAAACCATTCAACCGAAAATTTCGAGAGAAAACATCCAATGGAACGGAATTTCCTGGAAAGAAATTGTCAAAAATTTGGATATACCTCGCGAGGTCGCCCTCTTTTCGCGAAATTTCGGAAAATGCTGTTTCATTCACTGCTGGAAATTTCTGGAAATTCAAACCGGAATTTTTAGTAGAATGGAAAGCGCCCTGAGTCACCCCTAACACTGAATTTCTGAGGGTTAATGCCTTTCTCATCTTGGATTCCATTTGATAATTACTATTTTCCTCTAAAATAGATTTATTTTATCCATCTAGGAAGCAATGATTCGTACTTTTATGTTTGTTTTCGTCGTGCTCGTTGGAGCCAGCGTGTCGCTTACCATAATCTTACTCATGGTGCTTAAATAGACTCAGGATAGTAATCGAAAGGTGAGTAAAATGTCTTATCATTTTATCACATCCCTAAATAATGTGCAGTACGTGCGCCAATCTTTAAATTAACAAAATTTGTTAGCGAATGCCCCTCGTATATTGCTTTTATAAAGCTCAGTGTAAAAAGGGGTTATCTGGAAGTGTGTCCAAGAAAATGAAATAAGATTTTATACAACTATATTAACAATACTGTAAAATAAGTGTAATGAAGAATAACGAAAAGAGATAGAGGAATATGGTTCTTGGCTCGATTGTTTGACGATGTGCAGAGGATTACTAGCGTAGAGCCAGTTTAGTATTATTAAATCTCGTATTTTGTATCGAAGTAGATCAGTCCTAGTCAATGTGTCAAAAGCAGTGTGGCGGGAATGTCTTGTTCGTTCCATATGTATAAACATCAACAAAATGTTTGCATGTGGGTGACAACGATGTCAGGATCAACGTAGATATGGTCAAAACTTCACTTTGCTGAGATAGACAAATTTTGACATGTGATGTTTAAACAGGCGATACCGCCGCCACAGCGTTATTTTATTCAACATTACATTAACTCATTTTGTTTTCATTTCTTCCAACAGGCTCAACTTCGTTTAAAACTTCAGCCTCGAAGGAGTCCGGTATTAGTGCTTTGTTTCTGGTGCTCAGTTTATCAACCAAATGTGTAACAAAACAATTGCTTTTCGCCAGCCCCACCGTGATACAAAAAAAGAACGATAAACAATGACTTAGCAATTTCCGAGTTACACAGCTTTTTCTTTTACGATCGAACCTAAAGGCAAAAAGTAAATATAATTTCAAACACTTGTATTCATATTTTAAACACTCCTTTTCCCGTGTTTTAAAGTAAATGCGCTTAGATTTTTAAGGGTTTAATCTTAAGGAACACTGAAACTTGATTGGCTGTTCTTGACGCCACGGCATAAGAACGCTGTATGTCAATTCAATTATTTTATTACCAAGCTGAAGACTGCAAAAAGACAGGCCAATTATGAATAATCTCGCACGGCAATCACGCATGATTTTCTTCATAATGGAAAAATTATCTGTGGATTTCAGTTAGTTCAAACACTTGTTTGTGGGCCGTAAAGAAGTAAGACTCTGCGTCAACTTAGGAGTTAAAAGCGCGCGTCGGCCTCACTTGTGAAAGGCAGGTGTGTGCCTTATATTTTTTCACATCTTTGAGATTAAAGCTTTCCACGGCGAACAAAAGGATTCATTATATCGGAAATATCTCTTTCTATGACGTAAATCAAAGATTCTTAAAGGATTTAACGCATTTCATAATACCCGACGATGTTGGACATTTTGTTGAAGCTTCAATAAACAATGTACCAAACCGTTCTTGTTAACAACTTATCTATAACTTAGATTATCCGCAGTAGAGCATAAAAACACTCTCTTACACTTCCAAGCACCCCAACCACCAATCAAGTCTTCCCAGCGTACTAAAATACAATTAACTGATACTAAAAAAAAAAATTGACGCTGCTTCTTTTGGTTCAGAACTTTGTGGCTAGATATTTTCATAATCTGGCTCACTGTATCAGTTGATATTCGCGAACAAAACGAAAATCAGTGAATGATGATCTGTAGCACCTTGGTAATCACATTGGGTTTATTAGCATCAATTGTGGCTGTTTACGTATGCAAACGAAGGAGCACGTCGGTATAATTTATTGATGAAAGCTTTTAATAAATGACAAGTACTTAGCAACTAGGTTTGTTTCGTAAGATATGCTTTGCTTTTCGTGAAACTGTATCCGAATGGATTTTCATTTAAATGGACAAAAAAATTTGCATGATCAGTTTAACGGATGACAGGTTTTCAAGCAAGTTGGGTCATTAAGAGAACGTTGCCCATGGTCACCTGAACCCTTCTCGTTTTACAAGGAAAACATGCAAAATATCACTATCAGGAATGGTAAGTGTGCCTTCAAACAAGAAATTATGTTCCAAAGGAAACGTCATCTTCCACGACCGATATAATTGTTTCAAAATGAACATTCTGAGACGCGAAGCTGTGTATATCCGAGATGTGTTTTTGCTTACGAATCGGTTTAAGCCCTAAATCTATTTCAATTGTACTAGAAACTGAGCGAATGATAACAAAAAAAAAAAAACCGTGTTATATTGTTAGACTATGTGGATACTTGAGTAAAAAAGGTCGCGAACGTCAACATAACAGCAGAAATTTAACGCGAAATTCGCCCTGAAATTATGAGAAATTACTGAAAAATATCCTGTGGTTTTCCATTTTTCTGGTTTCTATCAGATTAGACCAATGTGTGAGAGATTTCTCTCAGATATTGGCCTTTTCAACAACAAAAAATAGCCCTTCAAAGTAAGAGCAAATGTTACGATGTTTTGAAATTCAAATCCTTTTCATTGAAAAGTTAATGATTTGCACAAAGTAATAAAGATTGGTATAAGAGGGTTTTATTATTGTTAATCGTTTTTAATCTGGTACGTATTTTACAGGGAGTCAAAATTCTTCCCTCGGCTCTCTCGGCTGGTACGGTTTTGATGTCGACAGCGAACTTCGAGTTAGCCTCACCGCCATGTACTCGGTCACGTTTATAACGGCTTTGCTTGGAAACATTCTGCTTATACACATAATCAGGCTCCATCGCCCTTNACAGTACTGTTGACAGTGGCAGGGATAGTTGTGATCTTTGTTCACGTGAAAGGCTGGTCATCGGTAAGTCGTAAAATGAACTCAAAATCTGTGCAAATGAGGATTGTTTTCAACAATTTTTTTCCTTGGTGCGCAAACGATTGGAAACATTTGACGAAGAAGCAAAATGTTTCTCAACAATTTCAGTAACAGATTGTGCTTCTCTAAAGAATTTTCTTCTTCATGAAATGTTTCTGTGTGTACCAACTGAAGACGTTGAGGGAAACAATTTTTGTGCAACAATGATTCTTTTTCGATCCGGGTAGAGGCTTTCTGGGTATAGAGGGACGGGGTAACTACGATTTTATGATTTCTTGATTATTGATTCAGTCTGGCAAAGACTTCGCTAAACGTCTCCGTCGAAACTGTTTTGAAGGGAAATTTAGCTCGCGAAAAAAATCTTTTCACACCGTTCACTTTAAGTTGATAATTAACTATCCATTTAATATTGTTTTAATAGGGCGCTGGAGCGCACCCTTATCTTGGTATCATCGTTCTTGCGCTTGCACTTGCTCAGCCAATCATGGCTGCATTCAGACCACATCCGGGTGAACCGAGGTACGGCGGCGAATTCATTTTACCAATTGTAATGTAGTGAAAACGAGTTTGAAACTGTATACGGGCCGGATTCGGACGGGAGACCACTTTGTAAAAGTACGTTATTATTTCTCGCTCTGCTAAGAGGGTTTTTTTATCGGGTACTTTTTATCCATTCTAAATAAAAGTAGGCTTACAAATTCCAGTTCGCTCTGGATAAAGAGGGATTCCGTGAAACTAGCTGTGGCTGGAATGTGACTTTCCTCGCTTTGTGTTACTGAACTTTACGTGTATTTCTCAAGGTCACTTATTTGGTTTATAGAAAATCTCTCTTACAGTTCCAGTGCCTTAATAATCGAATATAAAACTTTAACTTGCGGTTTTTTATGTGTTTTGTTGTAGGCGCATAATTTTTAACTGGGCTCATAGGATTGTTGGTATCTCAGCGCTGATCCTTGGAGGTAGGTGTATGTTAGGAAGAAAATGTTCAGTGAATCAGAACTGAAACAGGAATATGAAAGCAAAACAGCCACATGTTGTAACATAAGTTAAAATTTGTTTGTTATAACAGTTGTCTGTATTTCGCCATATCCACCATAAAAAATGGTCTCTTTTGCAGCTGTTACAGTCTACTTGGGATTAAAGACGAATCAAGTCGGCTTAGAAAAAAAGGGACTTTACGCAGTGATCAGCTTCTTCATTGCAGTGTGCTTTGTTTTCTTATTTGAGCTGTACCTGATCATGTCTAAACAGAATCGAAAGAAGAGGCCTGTTCCAGTAGGCACCACAAGAGGTAGGAAAGTGCTTTTTCAGTTGGCAGCCTCTTCTTCAATAGGGTGTCTATAAACAGTTTCTGCTTATCCAGTTGAAAAGGGCTTTTTTTGAAAAGGACGTTCTTACGTATTTTAATTTTTGTAATAGATATTCCAATGGAGCAACCTGGACATCAGACCCCAGCTTGGTCAGAGCCTGAAATGCCATTTAAGGTATCTAATGCATGACCTTATGAGTTTATACATCCACGAACGAGTTACCAAAGAGCCTCTTATGAGCACGATGACATCAGGTCTTATAATCATATTAAGGTTTACCGACACGGTCAAACATCAACCACGAGTAATTTTAATCACGATTCATAAGAGGTTTTTAAGAGAGTCATGTGCCCTGATTTAGATAAAACACCACTCACGTTTTACCACTACGCCATAATGGAGACTGCGGGCGCTTAGTATTCGACCACAAATTCCGAAACTTTTGAAACGGGGACAAATGGAACGGAAACATCCTTCAAAAGTTTCTGGGAACTGATCCAAACTGTGAACTACTCCAACCTAAAACTTTAGAAATGCCGGGTAGAAAATCTAAAGGAAAGCCAAATTCCCGGAGAACTAGGGTATATATACCTGGCGAGGTTGCCCTCTTTTACCCGAAATTCCAGAAAATGCCTTTCCATTCGCCACTGGACACTTCCGAAATTCAAACAGGAATTTTTGGTAGAATGCCAAAGCGCCCTCGGTCAGCCCCCAAACTGATTAGAACCTCCGAGGGTTAATACCCTTATCATCTTGAATTGCATTAAATTATTAACATTTTCATCTGAAAATAAAATGGATTCATTTTGTCCCTCTAGGAAGCCATGATCCGCACTTTCATGTTTCTTTTCGTCGTACTCGTTGGAGCCAGCGTGTCGCTTACAATATTCTTACTCATGGTGTTTAAATAGACTCAGGATACTCACCGAAAGGTGAGTAAAATGTCATATTATCTTATCACAGTCTGAAATAATGTGCAGTCCTCCAATCCCTAAATTAAATTAAATTTGTTAGCGAGTGCCCCTCGTATATGTTTGTTTTATACGCGAGCTTAGTATAAAACAGGGTTATGTAGAAGTTTGTCCAAGAAAAATACACGCGATGAAATAAGATTAATATTTCACACAATAAAATGGGCAATGTAAAGTCATTATACTGAGCAAAAACGAAAAGACGTCAGGAGTGTGGTTCTTGGCTCGATTGCTTGACGAGTACAAAGGAACTACTCTCGACCTTATTAGCGTGGAGCAATTTGGCAATGCTAATAACATTGTATTCGATGCAGATCAGTCCCAGTCAACGTGTCTTGAGGTGGCTCAACAGGGTAATGATTTCTCGCGTTCCGCGCGCTAGTCTTATGTTCTGAAAACTGTTTTTGCATTCGTTTTAACACCCGGTCCTCTCAAACTTATTAAATGCAATAACCAATGATGATATATTGATTTACTATCATCTCTGTTTAAATCTTGGCTTTTAATGTTGAATTATAAATGCCAAACAAATGCGTTTTTTACCGTATTTATGGCTTTATTCATGATTTTCTTGAAATTCATCCGATGAAATCTTTCAAACTTTTTCAAGTACATTAAACCCGGCGGGAACTGACGAATTTTAAACACGAAGAAAGTGACAAAGTAGGGTTTGTAAAGGCAGTTTTTTTTTAGATTTTTGCAGATTTATGTCTTTTCGCGCTACGGAAAAACTGGTTAGATAGATTACCCTGAAAAACGAGCTCCAACTAAAGTAAAGTACTTATTACCCGTCTGCCAAATTTTACGGAATTTCGCTGAAGGAAACGCGAGAACATTCACTCTCAGTTTTGCTTTTTGTCCTCATGTTGACGTCATAAAATATCGAAAAACACTGACGTTTTCCTTTGAGCGCGCTTAGATTGCTTGAGCTTTCATCCTAGGCGCGGGTGCGATCGTAAAACTATAGGGAGCCGCTTTAAGCAGTGCAGCCCGTAGTTTTATGTGCATGTAGCTGTATGTGGGTGACAATGGTGTCATGATCAACGCAGATACAGTCAAACCTTTACTTTGTTCAGATAGACAAATTTTGGCATCAGTAGTGTTTAAGGTTACAGTATACCTTCGGGTCGGCAATTTTCTTCAAATTTGGATTTTTGGGTCAAAGTAGTGGTCGAAGAATAATCTCTAATTTCTGAAANTGTCTGGGAATTGTTAAGTTCGAAATACCTTTTCTTCGAGAGCGATTTTTGTACGATCATTCCACATTTTTTAATCCTATTTCGAAAATGTTCTGTAACTTTTTACTGTAATTGAATATGCCAAAACGCAGACACGTTTCTTAAG